TAACCTTATTCGGAGCCCGGAATCATCAGGGCCGAGGGTCGTCAGGGGTAGCTCCCGATTCGTGCCCTGGGGACCCGAGCCGGAGTTATACCGCGGCCCGGAGCTCCAGCGGAGAGCTCGGGCGAGCAGCCAGCGGGGGCAACGATCGGGGGGAATGGGCAAAGGGTGGGATGCTCACCAGCCTCGAACTTATCCCTATCCCTGAGATTGACACGCCAAAAGGCGATGACAATCTTAGGGATGCACCCTCAGAAACTGAGGGAATCCCTAAGATCGCCATCGTGATGAGGCGATGCCGAACATAGAGATAGGGATATGTTCCAGGCTGGTAAGGACGCATCGCCCCCAACTCTCCCATTGATCGCCGATAGAGGCCCGATGGCCCCAACCTGTCCAGGAAGGTGCGGACTCACTATCAAAGGCCTATCGCCGACCTATCGGCGATGCATCGTCGATTCCTGGTCGATGCATCCCCCCCTATGCCAGTCCCCCCCTATCGTTGTCCCTCAAAAGACACTCCTGAATCATTGGGGCTGGGGGTTGGTCAGGGGTAACTCCTGGTTCGCGCGTCGGGGGTCCGAAGTTGCCCCAGACTGGAGCTATCTCGACGTCAGCCCAACACACTAGAACTGTGTGTGTGTGTGTGTGTGTGTGCGCCGCCCCCCCCCCCAGGGGCGACGCGCGCACCGAGGAACCTTGTATATGCGTCGTGGCGGGCGCTTTCTGGCCACACCGCTCGGGAAACGATGTACTACAAGATGGGTATTCTATATGTTCGGGTCGGGCGCGCCCCTCCAAGGAGGACATCTAGTACTAGTCTGTTTCTTTGCGTCGCATTCTCCCAGATGAGACGCTCATTTTTGGGGGGATGCGTGGATCCCAGGAGGTCTGAACCACTTCCCTATAGTCGGGGGCCCCCAAACGGGTTGGCACACCGTGTGGTGAGTTGGTGGGGATTCGGGGTCACCGCACGGGTTTGGGACTTGGGTCGTTTTCCGAGGATGTCTCGGGCGACTGGGGCCTCCAGGGTCCCAAACCGTGTGGTGACGGACCCTGCGGTGAGGTCTTTGGGGATTTCGAGGTCATGACCAGGTCTGTCACCGCACGGTTTTGGGACCCCCAAGATAGGTCCAGCTATGGAAAGGGGCCCACAGAGGCCGAGCATTGGAAAAGGTCTTCGCCCTGTGTTTCTTGCTGTCAGCCCGCGTAGCAAGGATGATCTAGGCCTCCCAGATGGGCTCGGAGTAGATGGGGTCGGAGGCTCGCTCGGTATCGTCGATGCACCGGCGATGCGGCTCGATGTGGAGCCCGATGATCCCCACGCCGACGTCGCCGATGCATCGCCGACGTCGCCGCTGCATCGCCAGCGCATGCCGATACATCGCGGATGCATCGCCGATGTATCGGCGCTGCGGCGCGTCCATCCGACCCCGGAACCCATCGAGGAGGCCTCTAGACGAGCAGCTTTCCAAGGGTACCCAGGAGGAGGAGGAGGAGGAGGAGGAGGAGGAGGAGGAGGAGGAGGAGGAGGCATCCTTCCCCCTCGGCCCATCCTCGGCCGCTTTCGCTGGCCGCGCCGCGCCAGCAGAGCGTCGCGACAGGGCACTCCGAGGCCGAGGCCCTTGCATCCTTTTCGTGCGTCCTCTGCATGTGTAGGGGTCGACGGCACGACGCGAGCATGCCCGGGCCTGCTTCCCCTGGAGATCCGACCTTACGACAAAAATGGGAACATCGCGAAAAATCGGGACCGGAGCCCTGGACACCCTAGCTCGATGCCGCAGTTTTCGAGCCGGACTGCTCTGTGAGGGTCCCGGGGTCCAGAATTGTGCGAAAACGGCCGTTGCGTGGGGCGCGAAATGAGGGGGGGCGATAGTTGGGGGGGGGGTGGCAGAGAGGGCTGCAGAAAAGAGTCCCTTTAGGGCCCCTAGATGGGGGCCCTGCAGGGCTAGGGCCCCCACGGGGGCCCTTCAAAAAGCCCCAAGGGGGGCCTTCGGGATCCGAGAGGTGTAGGACTCTCCCCCCCGCGCGTATCGCCCCCCCCCAATAGCAAGAGCCCCTATCACATGCGACGCCCAACGTTGTGCAGCATTGCAGCGCGAAGATCTGAGGGTCTCCCCAGGAACGATCTCTCAGAGCGTTCCGGCACGCTCCGAGAAGGCCGCGGCGCCCGAGGCATCCCCCAGAGCCGCGGGATCTCAGAGGCTCTCGATGTTTCATCCCCCACATTTCTCCTCGTCCTGGCTTCGTCTTGGTTTGCTGCATCCCCAGGAGCAGATGCGGGCGGAGCTCGACCAGGTTTGGGCGACGAAGTCTGTGCATACCCACTGCTACCTGGCCAGGCCCAGCCTGCACCCAGGAGCTGCGCCTACGCTTAAGTCGGGCCTGTCCCTCTACAGGGGGAATATTCCAAAATAGTCAAAAAATAGGCTGGGGACTTTTTTGCACCATTTTCGAGCATTTTTTCGTCCAAAATCAGCCTGTAGGGGGACAGGCCCGATTTAAGCCTACGCCCTCCTGGCCAAGCCAGGAGGGCGTGGCACATACAGTTAACGCGCATAGTGAGGATGGGTAACCTTCCCAAGGGTTCCCTTGCATCCTTGCCTCCTCGGCCCATCCTTGGCCGCTTTCGTTGGCGGCGCCCCGCTCGATTAGCTTCGAAATGGGCGCCGAAGGCCTTTGTGTCCTTGTCGCGCATCCTTACTATACGGGTTTACTGCAGCGCATACACGCCGCTGCTGGGCTCGGGATGGGCCTGGCCAGGGAGCAGTGGACGTGTACGGTAAGTCCGCGTCGTGTCGACCGGCGGCGACCCCGACGCCGGCGTTCAACCTTGACAACGGCCGATGTTGAAGGATCTGACGTTTCGGAGAAGGCCGATCGTTCGAAGCTGAACGATCCCCGCGGGGTCAGAAACCAACGCCGAAGTCGGCACGAGACGAACCAAGGGAGGAAAAACAGCCCAGACGGGACACTTGGAGTTCACTGCGCGGCCCTGGGCGTTTGTTGAACAGCCCTGCCCGGTTTGATTTCTTCTTGGGGGCGCGCCATGGCTACACGACCTCGCGCGTCCGGGTGGCTCTTGTGGGGGGGTGGAGTTTGTTGACTTCTGGTCCGGAGCCAGCGCCGAAGAGTCGGCACGGCACGACCCGCCGTCGCCGTGCCCCAACACACTTGTACAGTCGGGGCCCTGAAGAAGGAACCCTTTTGGTTGGGGAGGGGCTCCGCGTGCCTTAAGTGTTTCACAGCTTGCCCCACGTTTTCCTTCGGTCTTCGATAGGACATCGAAGTTTAACTTATGGAAAACAGGGGCCTCTTTCCTTATTTAGGGTTCCTTAGGTCAACGCCCCGTGCGTCGCCCCCCCCCCAGGGGTGACGCGCGCGCCGAGAAGCCCTGTATTACATGCGTCGCGGCGGGCGCGTTCGGGCCACACCGCTCGGGAAACGATGCACTGCGAGATGGGTGTACTATATGTTCGGGTCGGCCTCACCCCAACGCACTTCTACTATATGTGCGTCGCCCCCCCCCCCAGGGGTGACGCGCGCACCGAGAAGCCCTGTAGTACATGCGTCGCGGCGGGCGCGTTCGGGCCACACCGCTCGGGAAGCGATGCACTGCAAGATGGGTATGCTATATGTGCGGGTCGGCCGCGCGCCTCCGAGGTTACCTCGGGCCTGTCTTTCTACAGGAGGTGTATCCCAAAATAGTTTAAAAAAGGGGAGCGTTTTTTATTTAAAAAAGTATTGTTGAGTTTTTGTTGGGGGTCTTTGGAGTATGTCTAACTCTTCGCCCAGAATCCCCCCGTAGGGAGACAGGCACGACCGAACTCCAAGGAGGACATTCTAGTGTCATTGTGGGTCCCTGTGCGCCCCAATGCCGCGCAGAGAGCTCCTCGCCCCGAGGTGTAGGTCGGGAATGTCCCCCTGCAGCGGGATCTTGGGCGAAAAGAAACACTACTCAAATCTGCACGAACGAGATGGGCACGGAAAGAATGGGTAACATGCTCAACAGCAGTTTCTGTTCATTTTGAACAGGACTCGCGTCCTCGCCGCCGCGGCCTGTGCCCATTCGAGACAGAAGGCCGCCTGCCCAACAGCGGCCGCTGTTGGTTTGGGACAACATTTGCTGTTGGGCATTGTGCCCATTGTTTCCGTGCCCATTCCGGGCGTCCAAATCAAAACACGCCCTATTCTTTGACCGACTCAACCCCCCAGACATCCGACGTCTTGATCTTTTCAGTGCGGGCTCCCTGGAAGTCCCGACCCCTTCCCCAGGACCGGTTCTTCGCCCCGAGTCGTTTCTTGTTCACGGCCCTGGAGCCCGGCGAGGGCCCCCTGGAGGCCGAAAACTACGAAACACCTCCGTCTTGTTTTTTCAATGCGTTGGATCTCTGGGTAGCCCCACAGCTCTGTAGCCCAATAGCCCCATAGCCCTACAGCTCTGTAGCCCCACAGCTCTGTAGCCCGATAGCTCGATAGCCCCATAGCCTCATAGCCCCCTCGCCCTATAGCCCTGATTGGGGTGTTCCTGGCTCCCGTATCCTTATACTTTTTTTCGATTATTTTTATTGACGGCCTTCACCCAGGAGGGGAAGAACACACACAGACACAAGTCATCGTCGATTTCCCAGAAAATGGGGGAATATGGGAAGGGGGGTGGAGACAAAAGACCCAGAAAATATTGAAAATAAAGAATCTTTTTTTTGTGTGTAATTATTTGTGTGTCCCAGTTCCCCTTCATTCAGCGACTTAACCCGAGGTTCACGAGGTTCACCACCTACCATTTGCCTTCCATTTTGGCCGTCCATTCCATGGGGGGTCGGGAGCATCGAAAAAACACGTGTGGAACCCATACCCCCCCCCAACCCGAAATTCGGGCCTTCGGGTTGGGTTGGGGTGGTCTGGTAGGTAGTCAACCCGAGGTCGAGGGCGCCCTGCGGCGCCGGGGCCTGCGCCCGGCCCCCGGCGCGCCGGCGCCCGCGCCCGGGCCGGGCGGCCGCCCGCGGGGGGGCGAGGCGCGGCGGCGGCGCGGCGGGGCCGCGGCGGTGTCCCTGTGATGGCCCGCGCGGCGCGGGCTGCCCTTCGGTTAGAGCTCTATAGGCTCTAAGAACCGCTGGCTCGCCCCTGCCCCCTGGGCATCGCTCGGACGTGTGCGTTTCTTCTGCGGCGAGGAGCATCGAGGAGCATCCTTTTGATCATGTGGCGAAAAAGCCACGCACGAAGCCGAGCAAAAAGACACGGAATGGACGTCCGAGCGATGGCGAGAAAGTCGCTGGCGCGCGGCGCGGCTGCCCGTCGGTGAGAGCTTGAGTCTCCAAGAATCTTGGGGGCGGCAAAGAGTGGGGTGATGACTGGAGAGGGGTGGTGGGTATCCTGGCCGGGGCCATGATATCTCCCCAGATCTCATGGCGCGGCTGCCCTTCGTTCCCAGGCCCCGCGCGGCGCGGCTGCCCTTCGTTCCCAGACCCCCTCGAGTTAGGACAAAATCACGACGGGAGGTTTTTCACTATTTTTTGCCTTCGGGGGCCCTCACCGGCCCTCGGGACCGTCAAGAAACGACTCAGGACGAAAAACCGGTCCCGGGGGATGGGTCGAGACCTCGGGGGGTCGACGTCATGAAAAAATCATGACGTCGGGGGTCTGGGTTTAGAGCCCGAGTCTCTAAGAATTTCGGAGGCGGAAAAGAGGGCGGTGATGACTAGGGGGGGGGTGGATAGCATGGCGGGGGCCATGATATTTCCGCAGATCTCATGGCGCCTCTTCTTGTTTCAGTTCCCCCCGCTGGGCCGCGCACATGCCGCCGGGCATGATTTGCACCCCCCCCCTCTTGGACACCCCCCTCTTGGCCGCTCCCGAGAACCGCTGGCTCGCCCTCGCCCCGGGCGCCAATTTTCAAGCAGTGGCGGAGCGTCCTGGCTCGCCTGTAGCCCCACCAAAGCAATGTTCTGAGACCCTTGTGTGGTTTCCACGAAGTGTTCTTAGAGCATTTCTGGAGAGGTCTGTCTTGTTTTAGCACATCGGGTTTATGTTCTAAGATCAGTGTTTCTGTTCTTAGAACATTTTTGGGGTTCTACGGACACTTCGTGGTAGGACTGTATGAATTCCGGGACGGTCGGTCCCTGCTCAACCAATTCGACCCCAGGACCCCGAGGTGGCCCCAATAGATGTCCCCGGAGACGAAGCCGGTATGATCCCAAGTCGACCCCATGACTTCGTGGATAATTGGTGTCCCTGTGAGGCCCCGCGGCCGCGGCGTCGTCGTCGTCGGCGTCGTCGTCGTCGTCGCCGTCGTCGTCGTCGTCGTCGTCGTCATCGTCGTCGTCATTGTCGGCGTGGTCGTCGTCGTCGGCGGCGGCGGCGGCGGTCGTCGTCCGCCTCCTCCTCCTGGCCTCGCCCCCTACGCGGGCCCCGGGGGTGCTCCGACGAGGTCGTCCAAGACACCACGCTCAGACTCGAGCAGCGGCGAGGTGTCCCGGCCTGCCTGTAGCACCGAAGAGTGTTCGCGGAACCTGGTGTGCTTTGCACAGGGTGTTTAAAGAGCATTTATAGTTGGGACTGTCTTGCTTTAGAACATCGGCCCTACGTTCTAAAAGCACCATTTTTGAGATTAGAACATGTTTCGATTCTAAGAAGATTCGGGTTGACCCAAAACGGGGTCCAGCGACAAGGGGGTGGCGCAATAGATTTGGTGCAATAGAGGGGCGTGCAATGCATTCAGGGGCGCAAGTGTTTTACTGGGCTTCCGTGTGCAATACATTAATTGCAATACAAGGCAATCTAATTCTCTGGCGCAATACATTTGCAACACAATTGCTCCAAATTTAGACCACCACGCCCTTTCAGCTGGACCCCCTTTTGGGTCGCAAGGAAAGAATTCGCGGCAGGCCTCCACTCAGACGAACCCAGACCCCCTCGAGTCATGAACAAATCATGACGGGAGATTTTTCGCCATTTGTGTCCCATGGGAGCCCCACCAGGTTGCGGGACAGCCAAGCAATGATTCGGGACGGGAAACCGGTTCGGGGGAATCAGTAGAGATCTCTGGGGGTCGACGTCATGAAAAAAACATCATGACGTCGGGGGCCTGGGAAGTTAGGACGAGGACAGATGCGGGTGTGGATGAATCGAGAGTCTCTGAGATATGGCAGGTTTGGGGGATGCATCGGGCAAAGCGTTCTTCAGGAGGGACAAAAACACACAGACACAATTAATCGTCGATTCCCAGAAAATATGGGAAAATATGGGAAGTGGCGGGGAAGACAAAAGCCCAGAACATATGGGAAAATATGGGGAATTTGGTTATTTGTGTCTATTTATTTGTGTGTCCCAGTCCCCCTTCAGTGCTGGAACGGATTTATCCTCGTCCTAGCCTCGCCCAGGGGGGCGCGTCACGGGTGCGCGGTTGGTGGGGGGGCAGCGAGGGCTGCAGAACAGGGGCACTCTGGGGCCACCAGAGGGGCCCTCTGGGGCCCAGAAGGCGGCCTTTCGGGCCCGAAGGGGGTGCCTCCCTCCCCTTTAATGATCCTCCCCCCGTGAAGCAACGCCCAGGCGGCCGCGGAGTCGGCTACACTCGGGGCTCAAGAGACGGGGGTCAACGCAAACGGGGGTCAATCAGAGCGCAGGATCTTGGAGGATCCTGCGGGGCCAGGGTCCTGCAGGATCCTGCAGGATCCTGCAGGATCTTGCAGGATCTTGCAGGATCCTGCAAAGCCCACTCGCCGGAGTGACTTCTGGTGCGGGCACAGATGGGCCCTCGGATGGCTGAAATCGAAGCGGTGGCAACGGCTTGCGCGCCCAGGTTTGGTCTCCCCGCGGCCCCCAACAAGCCTTGCACCAAAGGTCATTTCTTGCCCAGGCTCGCTCTTGCGTGTGGCCGAGTACGAGCGACATTTTCCGGAGTGACCTTTGTTGGGCCAGACGAAAGGGGGGGATTGGGAAAGGGGGGGTTACGGAATTTGCCGCATGCAGCCGGTTTCGGCCTCACCGAGGGGCCCATTCCTCGATACATAGCTCCCTCCGGCGCCGGGAGGCGCCGGGAAAATCAGCGACGTGAGCTGATTCTCAAAGCCCCCGACTTTGCTCTCCCCCCCTTTCGCCCGACCCGGCTTCGGCGCGGGCACACCGGGGCTCCTCCTCCTCCTCCTCCTCCTCCTCCTCCTCCTCCTCGTCCTCCTCCTCCTCCTCCTCCTCCTCCTCCTCCTCCTCCTCCTCCTCCTCCTCCTCCCCTTCCTCGCCCCCAGATCGCGGAAGTCGATGCTGTGGCGGCCGGCCTGCGCGCTCGGGTCCGGCCCCGCCCGCGCCCGCCTGCGGCCGCGCGCCGGAGGCCGCTCTCGCCCCAGGTCGCTTCGGAGTGTCGCCGAGCGGAGGCGGCCCGCGTCACCGTGAGCCGTGTCGGAGGCCCAGACTTCGGGAGCGGAAAAGAGGGGGGTGATGACCAGGGGGGGGTGGATTTCATGGCGCGGGCCATGATTTTTCTTCAGATTTCATGGCGCCTCTTCTTCTTTCATTGCGTCCCTGGCCCCCCCGCTGGGCCGCGCACATGCCGCCAGTCATGATTTGCACCCCCCCCTCTTGGACACCCCGCTCTTGGCCGCTCCCGAAGAGTCTGGGGTGGGCAGAACCCCCACCAGTGACACGTCGATTCGTGAATTGCCCGTGTTCGGTTCTCGAGGGGGCGCCGTGGCCGTTGTTTTCCAGGCTTGCGCCCGCCAGGTTCGGGCCTCGGGTCGTTTTCACTAAACTACGTTTTACTAAAGGGGGGTCTGTCCATCCCCAACAGAGGCTGAGACAGTCGGCCCAGAGTAGCAGGTCGACCCTGCCAAATCAATGGTGCCCGTGTGTCCCGTGCCTCGCGACCCATGCTTCCGACATCCCTGCGGCAATGTGGCCCCTGGAAGGGTCTTGTGTCCTCTCGCGTGTCCTGTGCAATCGAGTCCGACTGAACCAACACCGCGGAGCTGGCTGCGGGCGTGAGGCGGCCCAGTACTGGTTCCGGCCAGCGGGAAGGGCGGGCGCGAGGTTCGGGGCGCTGGGCTCGGGGCGGTCTTGCGGCTGTTTCGGCCTCGCGGGCTGCTTTCGGCCCTGGGGCCGTCAAACACGAGTCTGGGGAAAAGAACTGCGCCAGGAAGCCCCTCGGCAGGGGTCCAGAACCGAATTTGGGCGGATTTGGCCCATTCCCCCTCCTGACCGATGGCCCCAACGAGTTCAGACCCCCTGGTTGCCTGCAACTTGACACCAACACCAGTATCGGCGGTGTGCCTGCACCTAGGGAAGATGATCCCGATCCCGGTGATGGTGGTAATATTCGGGCTTCTTGGGTGGCCGCAAGAAGACGGCCAGCACCAACACCATAATCCAGGAGCTTCTTCCCCTGGAGGAGGCAGTCCCCACGCGCTGGTGTTCATGCCCGTGTCCAAGCCTCCAGTCATGAGGATGGCCATGGCCACCGTGCCTCGAACAAGAACCTGCATGAGCACAATTTCGCGTGGATCTCCTCCTCTTCCGCTTCCTCCTCCGCCTCCTCCTCCTTCTCCTCCCCCTCCTCCGCCTCCTCCTTCCGCGCCGGGTTTTTGGAGCGGTGGTGGGCCCTCTCGCGGCTGGCGCGCTCCGCGCGCTGGGGAGCGGGGTCCGGCGCCGAGCCAGGCAGTCCGCGCGGAACTTCGAGAAATCGAAGAAGAAAACGCGCGTAAACATACACTTGTGGCGCTCCGCGCGGATTTCTTGGATTCGCGCTGGGCCCACCTGGCGGCGCCTCCGGCGCTGCCCCTGGCGCGCTCCGCGCGCCGGGGAGGGGGGTCCAGCGCAGATCCAAGAAACACGCGCGGAGCGCCACTATTATTTATGAGTATGCTGTTTCTTTCTTCCTCTAAAAAGTCCAGTTTATGTCGTCGGTTGATCTTTCGAGTGCGGATGACCATGGCCACCGTCTTGCCGTGTCACCGTGTTCCCCCTCGGACTCGTTCCTGGAGGTCGAACCCGATGTTTTTTTACCCGCTTCGCATGT